GCGCTGAGGTAGGTTTTCTCCGAGTACTTCGGTTTCCCCCGCCCATCTTCATTCCACCAATTGCTCCACAATCACCCTCACCTATCATCTGGGGCTGGTACAATAGGCCATAAGTGGCGGCAGTACACGGGACTTAGTCCCACCTCACTCGCAATAAAAAAGATATGGATAATTACTTGAAAAAGAAATAATGACAGACAAGTTTCTTATAGATGTTTTCAAAATATTTTTTAAAATGATAAGAATTATCCTCTAGTATGTCAATTTGAACTCTTTGTTATTATGTAAGATTTGAGGCTTTCACGGCAGTGACTATGAAGAAAGCAGAGTCTGCTTCTACCGGTTCTCACGGTCTCTTCGCTTGCTGATTTCTTATATTTTTTCTTCTACCCTGAAGATGGAGTCGATACGTTCCTCCGAAACGTCGGTTAACACCACATATACACGGTGCCAAATCCCAGAATACTGCTTTCTTCTCTTTGTTATTAATTGGTTAAACAGCTCATTTTTTTAAATTATAAGATTTATCCTGTGAGGTGTCAGTCTGAGCTTCTTGCTATTGTTTGCTGCTTCGTTAAATTACAAGGTTAATATGTAGAAGTGTAAAGAAACTACATTATTCAGGTAGTTACAACTTAATCAAATGTAAAGAGGGAGAATAATGCACGCATATACAACTATTCATTTTGACCAGGTGGGTTCTTATAATTTCTTAATTCTGTCAGTTAATTCTGAACTTGACCAGGAAAGTGGGTCTGACTTTTAGAAGCCATGGAACAGTATAATGATTGTAATAATATATAAGTAATACCTTGTTTAAATTATATACTCGTATTATACAATCTATTTTATAATATAAATTAGCCTGAATAGTGTGAGCCCCGGCGGAGGCAAGAATTTTCACTTTTCCATGTCGTCCAGGCCAGTTCTGGGACCCACCCAGCCTCCTGTCCAATGAGTACCAGGAGTTCTTTCACCGGTAGTAGAGCGGCCGTGACGTGAAACTGACCACACACCTCTATCTAGTGCCGAGGTAAAGAAAATGTGGATCTATATATCCACTCCCCCGCACTTCTTCATGGCGTAGTGCTTAATTAGTTAAGCGCAGGGATAACTTTACCTTTTTTTTCCTCGGCGCTACAGCCTTAGTGGGCCTAGCCCTACCTCCACGAAACTCTCCGTTCACTTCGGTTTTTCTAGATCTTAGACAACTGGTAGGACTCCTTGGGCGGGTGATCAGCTCATCGCAAGGCCTCTACCTGTACACAAACACAGAAAACATACACAAACATCCATGCCCTGAGTGGGATTCGAACCCACGATCCCGGCTTCCGAGCGAGCGAAGACAGCCTTAGACCGCTCGGCTACCGTGACCGGCCAAATAACTCGAAGAGCTGTATCGATACACCGATAGTGCTCTGTGAAATGGATATATAGATATGGGAATGGGACAGATTTACAGGCAGCACTGCGGGATAGAGATGTGTCACCTTAACAGAGGGACCGGCCAACTTTACCTTTTACCTTTCGTAATATGATCAAGTATTATTTCAGTAATATTTATTTTAAGAACGACAAAGACAAATAATTTATATTTCGCTAATTTTAAGCGCTTATTACTCTTTAGACTATCCTCTCTGTGTAACAGAATGAGAATCTTGCCATTCGGGCAGCATATGATTTATAAGTGGGCGGGGTTCTCATGTGCAGCAAAATCTCAAGCCTGCTGTTTCGAGATGTGGGCGGTTCCTTACGCCCCGTATCTTATACATTACATGCCACCTCATGCATAATGAACACTAGCACACGTGTGCGTGTAGGATGTTTCCGAATGGGAGATGTAAATATCAAGGGAGTAAGTACACACCGCTGCCCCATCAGAACAATCCCGATGTACTCATTTGTTTCCGTAATGACTGTCCCTGTGTGCTCTCTGTACGTGACTCGTGCTCCAGGGATTGATAGACTCCTAACGATCACAGTTAACTGCTTAGAGTCTCCATCACCTACGGAAAATACGAAGCAGGGGGCTCAAAATTAGATGCAAATTTGGTTCGTTTGGCCAAGGTAATTAATATTAAAGTGATCAAGAATTGGGTAACTCTGCTGCTACTCGTCAGAATGTAGTCTAAGGCGACCCATACACATACGAGTCTGGCTCGCGAGTCCGACTCGGCTCGGGTTCCAATGAGCCAAAGTCGTCCGTGTGTGGGTCGCCACGCTCATACGTGTGTGGTGAAATTAATCCGAGCCCGGCTCCTCNGGGCGGGGGGGGGGGGAGCCAGTCTCGTACGTGTATGGGCCGCCTAACTCTTGCGAACATGGGTTTATGAGAAATGAAAAATAACTGCAGGGAAGAATTGAATAATTTATGTAATATTTCCCAATATGAAATACTGATAATATATGACTCTCAAAATGTGTGTAACAAAAAGGATGTATTACACAGAATTTAGGTTGTTATGTAAGATTTGAGGTTTCCGCCGTGGTGACTATTAAGAATGTCGTCTTCTGGGTTTTGGCATCTGACATTAAGGGAGGAACATAGACTATAGGTGTCTGAGAACAGGGTTTGAGAATATTTGGATCGTAGAGAGATGAACTGATGGGAAGTTGGAGAAAACTGCATAATGAGGAGCTTCATAACTTATGGTCTTCTCCAAATGCAATTAGAATGATCAAGTCAAGGAGAATAAGATAGACAGGACACATAGCAAGAATGGGTGAGAAGAGGAATGCATAGAATATACGTATCTTTTCACGTTATAATATTGGTGGGAAAACCAGACGAGCAGGGACCACTAAGATGTAGATAGATGGGTAATATTAAAATGCATGTTAGGGAGATAAGATGGAGTGATATTGACTGGATCGCTCCGGTTCAGATTAGGGATCAGTGAAGGGCTGTTTTGAACACGGTAATGAACCTTCGGGTTCCATAAACTGTTGGGAAGTAATTAAGTAGCTGCTTCTGAAGAAGGGCTCAGCTCCATGAAGTCAGTCAGATAGTACATTGAAACTGGTAACGCTTTGGCCTCATATATCAACATCGGCATTCCTTTCATGACAATATTTATTGAGCACTTTGTACCTTCGAAAGGTGTTACATTTTCTGTATCCATTGATAGTCCCGGATGATCGTGTATAATATATCCTTTCCTTTCCTTTCCTTTCCATGTATTCGTCTCCGTCTTCCGCGCAAACTTACATTAGAATTTTTAAAATTCAAAATTTAATTTTTAATTATTAAAACTCATAATTTATTTACTTTAGTTGTCCTGTTATCATAACAGCTTTCGGCCTACGAGGCCATCATCAGGTGCGTTACAAATTTTTGGTAAAACTGCTGCACTTTTCACAGCGCCACAACGCTTTAATCCAGTTTTATAATTCAATTCCAAATTCTGAAGTATAATTTCTTTTCCTTGGGCAGTTTATGTTGGTGGTTGGTGTATCTATTTTTTTTCCTTGGCACTACAGCCCCAGTGGGCCTAGGCCTACCTCCATGAGCTTCTCCGTTCACTTCGGCTTTTTCTAGATCATACACGTTCGGTATGACTCCTTGGGCGGGTGATCAGCTCGTCGCACGGCCTCTACCTGTACACAAACACAGAAAAACGCACACACACAAAGTAAACATCCATGCCCTGAGTGTGATTCGAAACCACGATCCCGGTTTCCAAACGAGCGAAGACAGTACATGTCTTAGACCGCTCGGCTACCGTGACCGGCTGGTGTATCTATAATATGTAGCAATTAGTTATGTTAATGTTTACGTATGGAATAAATTGATGTTTCCAACGCAGTTGAATGCGTCTTTGCTTCTTTTGTCTGCTGTGCGTATTTTGCTCTGTTGGGTCATGCGTATTTATAAGCATTCTCTATGTTGGTTCTGTTTATTATATGGTGGATACGAATTCGGTGCTGCTATCTAGTGTTTAATTTATGTAATGATTCAAACATCGGTTTATACGTGTATATATAAATATTTGTATCTTTCAAGTGAAGGTTGTAACCCGATATTTGAAACATTCCATTTAAGAAACACTAGATAGCAGGACACAGGACCAAACCCACCATATATAAAACAGAACCAATCATATACAGTAGAACGCTCATAACTACACAAGACAGAACAGAATAAAATACGAATAGCAAACAAAAAAGTAGGTACGCATTCAACTGCACTGAAAAAAACGAATATATTCAATGCATAAATAGTTACATAATTCATTATTACTTGTTACAGATACACCAACCACCAGCACAAATTGCCCACAAAAGGGAAATTATACTTCAAAATTTGTAATTGAATTGTAAAACTGGAAAAAGTTTTACGACGCTTTAGAAAGTGCAGCAGTTTCACCAAAATAATTTTATAGCCCTCGAGCATGGCCGTGTGGGCACAATCATATTGTGATAATAGGACAATATAAAGCGAATAAGTTAAAATTGTTAAAAAATAAAAATGAAATTTTGAATTTAAAAGTTCTAATACAATGGTATAGGCTGCACGAAAGACGGAAACGAATAAGTGGAAAGAATTCAGTGCAACAACGTGCTGAAGTACAATATTTTGCTTACCTTGCCCTAGGAGCTCAAATTATTTCAAGTTTTACCTGTCATCTATTCAAAATATATACACAAGTATGTAACACTGGAAGTTAAACCACTTCTTTTTATTTACTAACCTACAATTATAGTCCGCGCCATAGCTCAAGCGGTTAGTCGCTGTCTTCCCACCGCGGCGGCCCCGGGTTCGATCCCGTGTCTGGTCAAGTGGGATTTGTGGTGGACAAAGTGACACTAGGGCAGGTTTTCTCCGAGTACTTCGGTTTCCCCTGCCCATCCTCATTCAACCAATTGATCCACAATCACCCTCACCTATCATCTGGGGCTGGTACAATAGGCCAGAAGTGGCCGCAGTACAAGGGACTTAGTCGCACCCCACTAGCAAAAAAAAAACATCCTACAACTAATTCCTGTGTTTTATGTTTCAGGAATGTTCCAGACAGACGGTCAGAAGCTGCCGGGCACGATGTGCGACCATCAGTTTATCAGCAGTAACTACTCGCTCACGCATGGCCGGTTTTATTCTCCACGATACCCATCAAGCTACCCCAAGAACATCAAGTGTGCCTACAGGTTTCGCGGGAGGTCAGCCACATTCAATACTGTTTACTTACCTCCGTTACACTGTTTTCAAAATATACATATCACATATATGCTAACAATTTCGGAAAGATATTCTAAAAGGTTCTCATGATGGTGTGTGGCACTTAGATCACTGTGACTCTGGACTTCGTCCATAGTCCGGTATAAGTAAGTAAAGGTATCCCTGTAACATGCCGTGAAGGCCCATAGGGTTGTGAGATGTTGAGGTTCCCACATTTTCTAGGCAGTCGGCTCACAGATGGTGGTGAGTTTGTCAGTCTTACGTGCCGACCGTCCTTTACCCCCAGAAATATTCCTGGCACTCATTTCTGTTAGAGGAAGTCTGAGTCGACCATGGGACCATAGTGCGCTGGAAGGATTAGGTAAATTGAAAAAACAAATCCACCTCATCGAAATTCAATCCCGTGACCTTCCGGCTTGTACCATAGTGCCTCAACAAACTACTCTACCGCGTGCCCCCCCCCCCCATTGTCCGGTATTCTAAAAGAAAACAAGAACGCAAAATTTCTGAAACTGTACCTGTTTCCTTTCTCATGTGAGGGGATTGGAGATATTTACTCCATTGGGTCCCCTGCTAACCTTAGTCACTGGGAGGTTTTGGGTTTAATACTTTCTACCGGATCTAACAGAATAGGTTTCGCCCACTCTCTCATCTGAGAAAAGAAAAGAAATCCAGTTTCCTAAACGTTGTGTTCTTTAACGTACTGTAGAATAATGGACGATGGACAAAGTCCAAAGACCCCTACAATCTCGAAATTCGGGACTATATCCGGTAAGTTAAGGACGCGGTGTCAAATGCAGTATTGTGTGCCTTCAAGGTGAGAAGGTAATACATTTAGTATCATCATCATCATCATCATCATCATCATCAGTAATCTGTCAAGACGACAGGTCCACAGTCTCTTCCAAAACAATTCCTCCACTTAATGCGATCTAGAGCTTTCTCCTTCAAATGACAGTATCCTCTTCTGTCCCCAAGTTCATGCAGCATCTTCTTACGTCTTCTTCCTCGTCTTCTTGTCACTTCTATCCGTCCATCTATCTTTCCTTCGATAACTTCTTTTAGAAGGCAGTTTCTGTGTAAAACATGACCAATCCAATTAGCCTTCCGTCTTCTTATTTCGTGTATGATATTCCTCTGCTCACTGACTCTAATTAACACTTCTTCATTTCTCACATAATCGGTCCAACTGATCTTCTCCATCCTTCTCCAACACCACATTTCGAAACTTTCCAGATGTTTCTGATCTACTGCCCTAAGTGTCCATGTTTCAGCCCCATACAGAGCTATGCTCCAAATGTAGCATTTCACTAGTTTCTTCCTCAAATTTAAGTCCAATTTGCTGGTAAAAAGATTCTTCTTCTTGCTAAATGCAGCTTTTGCCATGGCAATCCTGGATTTAATTTCACTAGTACACCTTCCATCATCTGTTAACAAGCTACCCAAATATTTAAAACATTTCACATTCTCCACATTATACATTTAGTATACTGGGAATGTTTAGGGAGGATATTGTCGTAGCTACATTTCAAGTTGCCTACCCGAAATTCGTCTCAAATAACTGGGGAAACCAAGAGAATTTCAAGGCAAGGAAATCAGTTCCTCACAAGATTTCAGAAATATAATTCTGTACTATTAGACATGAACAGTGTCAACTGAATGTGTTGCGAACTTGGTTGAGTATCCACCAGAGATATCTGATTAAGTTTGGGTGGTGGAGGCTGTAGTAAAGCAGCACCCGTAAGTTGGTTCAGTTCTTTAGTTGCAGTACGCCAGCATTTCATCTGCGTTCACTGGTTACATTATCAGCTATTCCTGAGACATTTTATAACTTGCAACACAGCACCAAAATCCTTTCCATCCTTCATCTCGCACACGACGCAAAGGAAGGAAGCAGAAATCGAAATGTATTAGCTCCGAAATACAAAATTCAAGTATCACTACTATATCTACCTTCTCTACTAGCAATGTGAGAAAGTACAGTGAACAACACAATGACAGTAAACTGATTCGCCTTTCATACTTTTTCCAAAACTGAATGTAGAAATTTTGAAAGTGGTTGAGTTTTATTGGCCATCATCCAGAAGCTATCCATTTCATGAAAGAAACACGTAGATATATATTTTCGGCAGATTTTTCAATGTCTACAATAATTATTTAAAGAAATTTAAAAATATTTAACAGTAACACTTAGTGACCTTTCTTACTGTAAATATACATATAACACTAGTTTTAGAGGATTATTAACGCCGTCCAATGTGACTGATAAATGTTGTGGTTTTTAATCTTTCATCCTTAACATATTTCGGTCGGATCGACCATCTTCAGAAGGACATAGCCATTACTTAGGGAAAATGCTATTACAATGCCTTGTGCTATTGTAATATCATAGATATAAAATATTATATTATTTAACAATTACTAAGATGTGCATGAATTTGTTAAAATATTTGTAGATTAGTATAATTATCCTATTTACATAGTAATGTTTAAAAAACTTTTTGTTAGGATCTAGAAGCAGTTTGGTTCGTGTCTTTATACTTCTTCTCTTTAAAGGAAGTTGAGTGTATGTCACGTGGTGGTTCCGATCTATCAAGAAGAGGACTCTTTATTGTCGTTGTCCAGTTGTTCAGGTCACGCCATGCTGTTATAGTAATAATATTGTAGCACTTGCGAAATTTCGGGTACTGACTTTATTTCCATATGATTAAGGACAAGTTAGCCGGTCACAGTAGCCGCGCTGTCTAAGACTTTAACTGTCTTGTCTCTCTCGAACGCTGGGAACGTGGGTTCAAATTCCACTCAAGGCATGAATATTTGGTGTGTGTACGCGTTTTTTTTTTGTGTTTAGATAGCGGACTTGCGACGGGCTGATCAATCGCCCAAGGAGTCCTACCGTCTGTGTAAAATGATTACGGAAATGGATAAGAGGCCTGGGCCCTGAATTGGGTGGAAGAGCCATTGAGAAAAAAAGAGAGACAAGTTAGAACAAAATTCAACACGCAAATATCGTCTGATGTAGTGTGAATCATGTGAATACCAGGAACACCTATGCTCCGTTTCGAGACCAGACGTTTCCTCTTCTCATGTGTGGAGGGTGGAATTATTATTTATAATAAACATGTCTGTCATCCCTTGACACTTGAAACAAGCCATCTGAATAATTTTACATTAATCTGCAACAAGAGTTAAAGCACTCAACAATTCCTTTCGGCAGAATATCTCGGAACTAAACAATACAGTGACTCAATGTTATCAGGAAAGAGAAATTATACAAGAAACCGTATAATGCGCTACGGTACTTATGCTGAATTAGAAACTCAGTAATCTGAAACCTCTAAACAAGCCAAGGCCGAAATCTCGTCATATTACAGGGACTGGCTTATTTATCAACCACAAAGTGACTTTCAATGTTTCGAATGAAATGATAACATATAACGCTGTGCCACGCGAAAACAATATTTGAATTATTGTGTGTTGTTTTTCAGTTACAGAAAACTTGATCATTACAGCAAAATATAATTCGAAATTTTTACTTACGTCGTGATATTAATAAAATTTCTAGAAATATTATTAAATATATGAAAGCGTAACCAAACTTCTTGGTCCCCACATACACAGTCCGTCTACACAAGGAAACACAAAATAATCAAAATGATGGCGAAGGATTTGAATAACAAGCAATCGTACTAACATAAAACTGTAAGCGGCCTCCGTAGTCTAGAGGTAACGTTCCCACCTCATGACTCGTGGTACGTGGGTTCAAATACCCGGCGGAGGTCGTCGAATTTTTAAGGGCGGAAAAATTCAGGGAACAAGCCCTCCTGGAGGGACTTTAAGCCGTGTGTCCCGTGTCGTAGCTCTACGGCACGTAAAAGAACCTCATATCTCCAAAGGAGGTCACTGAGCCAAATTCCAGGACGTTTCCCGCCCAACAGTAGTCTCTAAGGTCTCTGATAGATGGGGGAAGCATTATAGATACCACCAAGCAAGTGGAGCCGAACTCGTTTGCTCGGCAGGACTGATGGTACGCACCATTATCGGTAGGGTATAGAGACTGGTAGAATATCATAGAGGGAAGCACAATGGACCAATACTGGTCTAAGTGCATGGGGAAACCCACCCTCTCTAATAACTAACTAACTAACATAAAACTGTCACGTAGCCTCAGTGTGTCTACTTCAATAACAAGACTTTTCGTTTTTCTCGTTTTGTTGGTAGATACCATGGTTGGAATCCCGAGTTCATTAGCATGCCCACGGCTATTGTTGTCTGCTCTGATATTTGACAACAAATATACAGCAAGAAGAAGCATTCATCTCTAAACCGAACATTGATTTTCTGTGTTCTACAAAACTCACTCGTCTAGGTACTATTTCACATTACAATTCAGAGATTTAGATGCGTAATGGATCCCCTAAGCCATGGACGGAAATTGGTCCCTGGGTTGCAGTTATCGCTATATTGGAAAGACTGCGTGAAGGAGATAGCCTTCCCAGTTGGATCTACATAATGGAAATACTACGCGAAAGGGTGAGGTAATCTCGAGGGGTGGTTCGTAATACTCGCAGTTCTTTACGAAATGTTAGAAAATATTACTTTGTGACTTGATACACTTCTTTCACTATTACGGAGAGCGTCGTCAAACAACAGACTTGAAAGCCTTGAGGGTCCGATTGGTGCTGTGGGTGAAATAACTCGAAGAGCTGTATCGATACACCGATAGTGCTCTGTGAAATGGATATATAGATATGGGAATGGGACAGATTTACAGGCAGCACTGCGCGATAGAGATGTGTCACCTTAGCANTAGATTACACATGTACGCTACACCTGAGGACTGATAGCTAGGGTTCCAGGGAGGGAAGGCTGTCTTGGCTCTACCTAGCCGCTATCTCGGTCAACGACTAGTCTCTCGCTCCGTCTGCATCAGACTGTCTACATTCTTTGTTTTAATAACACACCAGTCGTAAGGAATATT